CAGAGTAAAGGCCCCTTTCTGTAAGATGAGGATGGAAGGATTGGTGCAAACTCTGGGCTGCCATCTGCATGGGTGTTCTCCTGTGCTAACTGTACAATAAACTGCAGGCAGGAAAAAAAATGGTTACGATTCTTTAATTATTTTAATTTATATATTTCCCTTTTTAGTTTCATAAATTAACAAACTAAAGATATCTTTGATATATAACATGATCTGTTGAAATAAATGTACATTGTAGAATGGCTAAAATGAGCTAGTTAATGTGCATTGCCTCGCATGCTTCTTTTCTTTTTTTTTTTTGGTGGTGCTAGGAATTGAACTCAGGCCTCGTGCAGGCAAAGCAAGCACTCTACCAACTGAGCTATACCCGAGCCCGTCACATACTTATTTTCTTATGAAAACATTTAAAAGCTACTCTCAGTGACTTTGAAGTATACAGTGAATTTTTATTAACTGTAGTCACTATGTTGTGAAAAGATTTCCTGAGCTTATTCCTTCTATCCAACTAAATTTTTATGTCATTTGAAATGTTTATTTTTTTTTTCTTTTTGTACTAGGGATTAAACCCAGGGACACTTTACTACTGAGCCACATCCCCAGTTGTTTTTAGTTTTTATTTTGAGACAGGATCTTGCTAAGTTGCTTAGGGCCTCACTAAACTGATGAGGATGGCTTTGAACTTTTGATCTTCCTGCCTCAGTCTCCTAAACTCCTGGGATTATAGGCGTGCACCACCATGCCCGACTTGAAAACAATTATTAAACTGTCAAGTCAATTTTAAGGTTGATAGTATGTATTATCAAACTGCTGGAGCTAGGGATTCCTCAGTGGTAGAACTCCTGCTTAGCATGCAAGAGGCCATGGGTTCAATCCCCAGTACTGCAGAAGAAGGAAGGAAGAAAAATGAAGCAGAATAATCTGACCCCAACTACTTTCCCTATCTTTTTATACACCCCTTCTTCTCGCTGTCATTAACAAAGTGATCCTGGCCAACTTCTTTCCCATCATTCAAGTCTCAGATTTAAAAACTTGTCCATGAATGCTCATAGCAGCACTATTTATAATAGCCAAAAAGTAGAAACAGCCCAAATGACGGTTGACTGACAAATGGACAAACAAAATGTAGTATAAAATGGAATATCATTCAACCAGGAATGAAATTCTGGTACATGCTACAACATGAACAAACCTTGAAACCATTATGCTAAGTAAGTAAAATGGGCCAGACACTAAAGAACAAATAATGTATATTTTACTTATATGAGGAACCTAGAATATGCCAATTACTCAATTACATGATACTATAACACCATATATTTGAAATGTTGATTCTCCTCTACTGCCCACATACTTACGTACTGGGGCCACAAACCATGCCCAGGCTAGTTGCATGCAGTCTCATCTCCTAATGCTGGGGGAGTGAACACAATGGGCAGAAGGAATATTCCTGAAAGCAGTAATCACACTAGGAGTGGCTTGCCAACACTTAACTATACAGAAGTAGCAGTGTGCAGAGTATCCACAAATACATCTCATTTCATGCAAATTAATTGTGTCTTCAACTCAGTCTCACCTTGGCCAGACTCCTAAAGACGTATGAAGCCACTCCAACAACACCTGAAACAAAGAGAAGTCTGATAAGAGGGATAGTTGGAAAGGGACTGGTTTTAATCAATTGCTGTTAAATTGTTTTCTTTTAAGAATTTTATTCAAAAATTATGAGACCATAAAACACATTCTAGGACTCCTCAACAGAACTTCTGGAAGAGGCCCCCGCCGGCGGCTTCACGGTAAATCCTCCTCTGCCTGCAAGTAACACAAGCCCTCAGTAGAGTCACTCCGTGGTCTCCACCCTTTCACAAAGCCAGCAATGACTGGAGGTGTCTTCCTTCTAGAGAACTGAACCCCCTCCCAGCAGCTTAGAGAATGCAGCTAATGAAAGCTTTCGTGTACAAACACAAAACCACTAACATAATACTAAAAGGAATATAAAATGTAGGTAATGTGAGTTTCAACATACCAAAAGCCTGTCTAATGTGAAATCTAAGCCAGAAACCAGGAAGAAACTGCTGGTGTGTAGGACTGCATGTGCCACAGTCTGTCTGGGCACAAAATAACAGAGCCACCACAAAGCCTTGTAGATTCAAACAGCAACTCTTTATTCCCGAACTCTCACTCACTCTACACGCACATTCTGGGAAAATACACTCCCTCCACCGGGCTCTCCATACCAATTCTCTCAGAACCCCTCGAGAGCTCAACAGAACTCAAGGAGCAGGCGCCTGAGGCAGCAGGATAGGCCCTATTCCCAGCAGGATCCACCCTAAACCCCCGGAGCCACCCTAATTCAGCAGGATCCACCCTAAACCTGGAGCCACCCTAATCCCTGAGCAGGGTCACCTTTCAACCAAAAATGCCATGCGTCATTCCTACTTGGCTATGGCTCTCAGAATGCATGGGTATTTTAAATACAGGAATAAGGATGATAAGGAATTGTTCAATTAGCCCTATCCAGATGAACTTGTTTTCCCTCTCTTTCTTCTGATTCATCCCTCTTTCCACTGGACCCCTGAGCTATTCAACACCACTGACCACACTTCCTGAAGCCTTTCCCTCTCTAGCCATTTAGGTCATCACACTCTCTCAGTTTCCCTTCCAGGTCACTAGCTGACTTCAGTCTCCTCCTTCTCTAGGAAAACTTCAATAAGAATCCAGGAGCCCAGTTTGAGAACATCTTTCCTATTCACACTCTTTGCCTCAGTGATATCATTCAATCCCATGGCTTGGACACTGTCCATAGGCCAGTCATGTCCTCCTTGAACTCCAGCCTCAATGTCCAGCTCCCTGGACAACAGTTCCAGCTGGATGTCTCATACCCATGTCCAACTCAACATGTCTACAGCGGCACTCTTGGATGCCTGCGGTCGTCATGAATTTGTCCTCCCTCAAATTATCTGGTTTATAAATGATCCCATCTTCTGTGTTAACTAGATAAACCAAAACCCTAAAAGTCATCCTTGATTCCCTCTGTTTCTCATCTACCATGTTTAAAACATCAGCAAGATCTGTTATTTTACCTCCAAAATTATCCTGATTTATCCATTTCTCTACATTCCCACTCAATACTGAGTCCACATCTCCCTTGGGTCTCATTGGGTCACCCAAAAACCCTTCTGGTCATCCTCTTGCCCCACCCCACCAATACTCCACCGCTGAGCCATTCCACAGACTGTGGAGGATTATCTTTTCCAAAACATAAATGACATTAGTTTTATTTACACCCACCCCCAAGCACTTACCATTTCATGTAGAATAAAATCTGAACCTAACCACGAGGGCACAAGACCTCATCTGATTGGACCCCAGGCTACCTCGTTGACATCACCCCTTACCACTCTCCTTCTCACTTTTAGGAGCACCAGCTTCTGTCAGAATCACACCAAACCTGCTTCTGCCTAAGAACCATTGCTGTGGCTAACTTTTCCTAACCTCAGTTCTGCACACCTTATTTTTTGTCATTTTCCTGTTCTTCAAGACTCAGCTCAAATATCACCACTCCTACTCCCTATGTCCATTGTGATTCCCCTTCACATGTCTTTATTTCATTTTCCTAGTGTCACTTACACTTTTATTTAGTTTTAAGTGTACATATTTACAGGATACGGTGTGGTAATTCATCACATGTATATAATATAACTGATCAAATCAGGGTAGTTAACATTTCCAACTCCGTATCATTACTTTGAGGTCACTTATATTTTGAAATCATTTCTTCAGTCATTTTTCTTGTGCTGTCTCCCCACATAGAAGAAAGACTATGTTCAAGAAATTTGTCTATGCTGTGGAATAAGGTATCTTCCACTACATCAGTGCTTATCAGATCATACTATGACATAAAATTTTTGAGCAATTAGCAAATATATGTTTGAATAAACTCCAGATGAAAGAATTTGGGTTACTTTTCCTTACAGGGAAAAAATTAGGGGATGAATCATGGAAAAAAATGACATCATTTGCCTTCTGGCCTCTAATACCTGAGTCAGTGAGGTGGGCTGGAGCTGGCAGTGGGTGGCTCTGCAGAACTAAGGACAGTGGGTGAATCATCGCTCTGAGGAGCCTTCAAATGAGATTTTCTTTAGGAGTCACTATTTAGAAGTTGTCACCATTTACTTCTTTATTCATTGGCTTTTATTAATACATTCTATGCGTTTATAAGTATAAATCATTTGCCTTCAGGTTCTGAGAAGGTAGTAAGAGGACAGAGTCTAAGAACATGGGATCTGGGGGCTGGGGATGTAGTTCAGTTGGTAGAGTGCTTGCCTTGAATGCACAACCCCTATCCCCCAAAAAAAAAAAAGAATATGGGATCTGAAGTCACACTGCTTCCTTGCAATACTAGGTCTGTCATTTAGTACCTTGGGAAAGCCACTTATCTTCTCTACGTTTCATACTTGAAAAAAACAAATGAAGACCCCACAGCACTGGCATCCTAAAGTGTTGAGATTAATTGATACTAAAGAGGTCAGCACAATGCTCATTGCAAGTGTGTGCTAACTCAACATCAGCTACTTTGCTATTGTTATATTTGTTATTCAAGACTCCCCAGCACTAAAAGTTCATGAATACAAATACAGGCACATATGACAGTGCTCTTTTAGATTTCCCTTAAAAACTGAGTAATGTATTAACAGGTATGTTGATCCAGTAGCACACGAATGTTTGTATATTTTTCTCCATGAGAGTGTCTGCTCTCATTGTCCCTGAGTTGGACAGTTACACTGTCTACTTGGTCAAGGATTTAAATTTTGCCATTATTTCTAGAATCTTTGAGAGCTCCAGATCAGCATTGTGTATCTATAATTAAATAAGGAAATTAAAATTCAGCCAACAAGAATCAGGACACCCAAAACTGTGCAGAGGCTGCTGGGCAAGTCCCACCCCCCAATGCAGAAACAGTGGCTGCAGGTGCAGCTGCAGTTTAGGGACAGGCTGCAGATCCCCTAGGTGCACTGTGCCTCTGCTGCACAGAGGTAGGTGCCTGAGTCTTCCAGCTGGGAGGTGGAGATGTGCAGGGTGCTGTAGCGCTCCTGAAAATTCATTGTTGCCTTTAACCTTCCCTCCTGCTTTGTCCCTGAAGTCAGGTAAAGCAGATTGATGAGGCCACCCCCAGGATTCTGTAGGAACCACTGCACCCTGTCTATGGTGGTGGAAAAATTGCACCTCAGAGTAGGGCTGGTTCCCTCCTGGAGCCTCAGGGCTGAAGGACTCTGCTCCACCTGCTGCCCTCTCACCCCTGCTTGGAAAGAGAAAAGCAAACTCAGCTGGTGTCACTGAGGAATCCATGACCAGTTCACAAACCTGCAGAATATCCCAGGAAACACCCTGAGGATGGAGGCCAGGGAGGGGGCTTGGTGCCAGCTCTCCCTGCCCTCCCTCACACTGTCAGCCCTAAAACACCCTCAGCTCCATCTGGGAGGAACCCGACTCACAGCAAAGCTGCACCCACAGAAGCCCCAGCAGAGCCCCCAGTCTCCTCTGCATGGCTGGCTGCTAACCCAATTACTGGGTGCCTTCTCCCCTGCTCGGCAGGTGTCAGGTCTTGGGCCTAGACAGATTTTGTTCTTATAGTCAATACCAGACTTACGGTCCCACCAGACTCAGCAAGCACCACCCACACTCACACCTGACCTCTTCATTGTTTCCTAACCAGAAACTCCAGCAATCATGCCCAGCACAAGCTGAATGTGTAATCTTTTCTTAAGTTGTGTATGTGTGTGGGGTGTGTGTGTGTGTGTGTGTGTACTCACGCATGCAAGTGTTTGTGTTGAGGTGGGACAACATGGGCTGGTGGGGGAAGGGAGCAGTAAGGAGAGAGACCCTCAATATTCCTAGTCTTTTCCTGAGAACTAATTTAAGTAGGAAAGTTGAAAAGTTTGCATGGAAGGTAAAAATAGCACAAGGATATCTCAGAGAGCAATAGGGACCTCTTCTAGGTCAAAGCATTCTAGAAAATCATAGTTTTGGTGACTCTGCTTTCTAAACAATAATCAAAATGTGTAGATTGACAGAGGAGTTAAGCATTGATTTATATGAAGGGCCAGCAAAGGAACACAGTTTCATGATACATGAAATACTCATCCTACTTTTGTGAAAAGTAAATACAAATAAATCGTAGTAATTTTGTATAGCTAGAAAATGTGTTTATATCTATACATGAACATAGCATGTGTTTATAATGAGACTTTAATGGAAAAGGAGATGGGACATGTGTAGGAAGTCCGCCGTGACTCCTCCCCCTCCTCTCTTCTCTACCCCTTTCCATCCTGCAGACCCTCAGGGCTGGTTCTGTTCTGTGAACATGAGGTGAGGGTCATATTTTTCAGTTCACCCAAAATGTTTCTTTTTCCCCCAGTTTTTTTCTTACTCATCTCCCTCTTCTAGATTTTTCTCATTTATTTGTCTGTTTTTCTTAGAGAAGTTGTAGAAAGAAAAATTTCATTAGGAATATTGGAAAAAATTCTAGCTTAAGGGATAAAAGATCATCTTAAAAATTTTTAGTTATAAAAATGAAAAAATAGAAATAGGATATATTTATATATCCTATATTATATATATATATATATATATATATATATGATACAGTATATAGATATGTCTATTATAGTCAAGGATAGCCTGCAATTCCATTCTCAACTCTGCCCAGGAGCTCCTCAACCTGACCTGATGATGAATCCATGGGGATCTGAGCTCCATCTTAAAGGAGAACTGCTAAGCAAATAAAGAAACAATCAGTAAATAGTCCCCCTGTGCGCTTAGTGCTTAGATTTGCCCACATGTTCTTCAGCCCTTTCCCAACTCTTCCTAACTCTTGTTATCCTTTATCTTCCCATTCACTTTTTTAAATATTCTTCACAGATCCAATTATCTGGAATCTTAGGATCAGTTTCAGGGTGAGAGGGAAGCCTACAGTGTCCCCAGTGAATTAATACCATCAGTGCAGACAGTCACTGCACTCTATCTGGTCACAGATCACATGGAAATCCACACGCAAAAACAGCACTGCCATGTTGCCTTTGTTTCAGAAATTATGCTTTTCTCATGAATTGCATTTGTTCATGAATCTTCTCCAGCCTGATCCCTGAGTCACTGAAAGGCTCACATTCACCTGAAGTTTGTGCTCTGCTCTGCCCAGAGCCCCAGGGAACTGTGTCATTCAGAGCCCAGAGGTACTCAGTCACATCCCCCAATGGCTCAGGGCTTGCTCAGGTGGAAGAAGGCTTCATTCTTCCTAAATTCAGCCTCAAAACCACAGATGCCTTTAATCAGAGTGGTCCCTGACACGTACATCAGAAGGAGCTGGAGGCCTTGATTGGGGTGGTACAGGTATCAGAACTGAGATGGAAGAACAAAGGATGAGTAGCTTGCACCTCCAGAAGCTCCTTCAGAGACAGCAACGTGGACATCAGTCTGGGCCATTGACTGGGCCCTGTGTCCTCCAGCAACATCAACATGATGTGAGTGAGGCCTTGACAAACTTACCTATGAAAAGGATCTCTATTCAAAGTCCAGCTGCAATACCAAACCTCTAGGGAACAAGAAGACGGAATTGAATTTTACGCACTCATGGAAAAAAGTATTGTTAGTACTGCTAAAGGATCCAAGCCCTTGGCTGAGCAGTGAAGAAGCTGAGGGTCCTTTTGAGGATCTGCCCTGAGTAGGAGGAATATGGCTGAGAAAACAGTGCCATTAGAATAAGCAAGAGTGGGATATGGCTGATACCCTAGAAATCTATTGACTCAGCACATTCCAGAGATGGTTAGAAGAGTGTCTTCCTTGACAATATGGGTGTTTTCCAACTTTTAAATTCTTTTAATGTGTCTTCTAATGCGTCTGCAAAGAACTGAACAAAGAGCTGAACACCACCACCAGAGTTCTCTTTGTGCAGCATTGCCATCTGGGGGCCAAACACAGAAGTAGTTCTTCCAGTGAGCCTTGACATTTTTTAACTTTGGATAATTCAGGAATGTTCTTCCTTTTTAGCTCAATCCACATACATACAGATGCACAGTTTTTGTTGCCCTTGTGATTTCAGAGCCGTGGTGTGATTTGTGTGTTTTCTGACATTTCCTTCTTCCCTAATCCCTGAGTATGTGATCCTGTATGCTGCACCCCAATCATCTCAGGTATGAACACACATAAAGAGAATTAAGAGGCTTCAAAGAAAAATTGAACGTGTACGGTGTCTGAGTTATTGTCCATAACAGACATCACAGCAGGCATGAAGATAACCCTCAGGGCAGAGGCATCAGGAAATTAATTCAGGCTCAGTTGCTCATGGAGCTGAACAGCAGCTCAGAATCAAGCATGGTGACAAGTAAAACACAAGAAAATAAAAAGTAAGTACTTAGTTGTTACCAGCCAAAGAAAAAGGAATTGCATTTGTTCATGAATCTTCTCCAGCCTGATCCCTGAGGATCAGAAGGATTGGTGCAAGGGAGGGAGGAGGGAGTAAAGGAAGGAGGAAAAGGAACTTATCAGTCACTCTTATAGAATTTCTCAGAAAACCATCAATTCAAAGAAGGCAAGACCATTCTAGCAGAAGATATAGTCGAGGCTTGGGAGCTTAGGCCAACAAGGGCTAAAAAAGAAAAGAGAGAAAAAGATACATTTTTGTATTAGATCATTGATTCTTTTAAAAAGAAGAGAAATAATGAAATTACATCATCTGGTCAATAAAAGTAAAAATAAAGATAATACAAACTACTGAGGGGGGGAAGCAGTACAAGAAAGTAGTCATAGTGATATACTGTAAAAATGTTAAAGTAACTTAGAAAATAGTGGGGGATGGGGATTCAATTGAGGATGCCAGGAACATTATTCTCTGGCTGTGACATTGACTTTTTCTAGTAGGAAATGTGAACAAACGTGAAATAATAAAATGTCATAGCCATAATAATTTAATGGCATCTATGGTTTTTCAATTCTATAACCCTCATCTAGACAATGCAATGAGTAAAAATACTGTCAACTGAGGCAATGTTGGGGACATATGTTGACTGTTGCTGGAAACTGAAGAGGGAAAGAGCAGATGGGCAGAGCCGGAGCGTGGATAGCCTTCTGTGGACAGAATGGACATATGTGACTGCTCTACAAACAGAGGCATGTGGTTCTGATTTAAGTATCTGGGGTAAATAGTAGTAGAACCATTAAATATAATATAGAATATACAAGGAAAGAGAACCACAATGAATCACAATGTCTGTTCTCATTGTAAGGAATAAATGGATCTAAACTAAATTTAATTAAACAATGGGGAGTTACTCTGTTACTTTATCACTTCAACTAAAGTTGAAGACAGTGAGAACAAACTTCCACAAAATCTAAACTAAGAAGTTAAAATCCATTCAATATCATGACTTATTAAAGCTTATTCTGAAACCTCAATCATAAAACATATGCTTCTACTACTTGATTTATTAACAAGCCAGTTTATTAATAAACTGAGCTGAACTCAATAACCAGGACACACGTTGACTCTCCGTCCAATATTTATCTTACTCACTTGTTTACTATTTGGGTATTTCTCATAGCTTTTTCAGTCAATTTCAAGTGGTAAAGCAGTCACATTTCCAGAAATTAAAAAGCCCCATCCAGACAGGTACGGTGGTACATGCCTGTAATCCTAGCATCTCGGGAAGCTGAGGCATGAGGATCACAAGTTCAAAGTCAGCCTCAGCAACTTAGCAAGATGCTGTCTCAAAATAAAAAATAAAAAAGGCTAGGGATATGGCTCAATATTTAAGCACCCTGGGTTCAATCTGTGGTACCAAAAAAAAATTTTTTTGAAGTTTCTATAGCCAGACTTTATCTGTCAGGCAAGATAAACCTCTAAACATTTTAGTGAACTGTAAAAGCAAGTTCGATGCCACAGGATTGGGTGTGAACATAATCCTGAACTATTATTGATTTTCAACTCTGAGAATTAACTCACCCAGAAGATATGATCTAATTCTCAAAAGAGCAACACCCAGTACTTCCATCTTGATTCAGAAGGTCTTTAATTCTTATCTCACACAGTCACTTTATTATACATAATCAGTTAATATTCTTACATAATATGGAAAATTTTGACAAGTATGTATACCAAAAAGTAAACTATGGCTATCTAAGAGTATTGAGATTTGAGGGCATTTTAATTTCTTTATTTTATTCACTACTATCTTCTAAATTTTCTAAAATAACTATCACAGTAGTTTGTTACACTGATGATGACCCTCAGTGAACCATGCTTCCTGATATTGACAACCTGTAGAGTCCCCTCCCCATGGCTCTGGATGTAGGGATTCTGACCATGGAAATGTACAGGGAAGCATTCCCCTGGTGAGAAAACTCCCGGGGGGTAACAGGTACCCTGTTTTTCTCTTAGGATCTAATAATATAGCTAATATATGTGCAATATCTAGCTGGTACACAATGCACTGAGATGCCTCTGTGTTAGAGCCTCATCAAGCCTTGACCTTGATTGCAGGCACATAGCTCCTGGGAACAGAAGAACTTGTTTGCTAGATAACTGTGTTTCACCAAGCTCCAGTGCTCCTGGAGCTGCCGGCCTACCAGTAACTTCAGACAATGGACTTTCTTGAAAACTGCACAAAGCTCCTAACATTGCATTTTGTTACTGTGAAATGTAACTGCAGAATAAGCAACCTTACTGACACTCTAAACAATGATGTGGTTTTGGTACTAATGATCTAATGTAACCTATTAGTATAAGTAAATGTGATCGCTTGGCAAAGGAGCCACTCTGCCACCTTCCCTGCCTCTGCACCCTGTCTGTATCTCACTTTATTATTATTCCTTAGAGCTCTGGGTTGGTGTATGGTTTGCATAAGAAGTAGAATGAAGGAAAAAGGACATCATGACAATCCTGAGCTACACCTGAAGGAAGCTGTCCTTCTTTTTGTGCTCTTGGGAATGTATATAAGAACTCCCACTACCATATCAGAGAGACCATATGGAAACATCAGTCATATACTCTGTATTTTTAAAAAACATACACACACACACACACACACACACATCTGGAAGAGGCAGATTATGAGCCTATAATATACTCAGTCCACTGGCAAAAACTAAGCCACAACCCTACTCTAAAGAATGCTTAATAGGGCTGGAGTTGTGGCTCAGTGGTAGAGCGTTTGCCTAGCATATGCGAGGCCCTGGGTTCGATCCCCAGCACCACATAAAAATAAATAAAATAAAGGCATTGTGTCCAACTACAACTAAAAAATAAATTTAAAAAAAAAGAATGCTTAACAAATATTTCTGCTTCTGATAATTGATGGAAGTCCTATCACTAAAGAAGAATAAAGCCATGCACCTTAATACACTATCAACTGCAAGTCACACAGACCAAAACTCATCCAAGTCTCCTTAATTATACAAAGCTCTGAATGCTTTGTAATCATTTATTTATCCAAACTGTCTTCAGTCTGGAGGCAGAGTTACCATGCATAACTTGGAATCCAGAATCAAAAGTTATTCTGTGAACCATCTGTTAGTCAGCTTTCAAAGCTGTGACCAAAATACCCAACAAGAACAACTCAGAGAAAGAGAAGGAAGAGTTTATTTTGGCTCATGTTTCCTGAGGTTTAGTCGATAGTCAGCCAAGTCCATTGCTCTGGGTCCAAGAGGAGACACACATCGTGGAAGAAAGGCCTTGTGGAAAACCTCTGCTCCATTCATGGCTTCAGGAAGCAGGGAAGGGGCCACAGGGAAGATGAACCCTTCCAGGGCATGCTCCCCGTGGCCCTGCCTCTCCAGCCATATTCCACCTGCCTACAGTTGCCATTCAGTCCATTCAAATGAGGAGGGGCCGATTAGCTTGCAGCTCTCACAGTCTAATCATTTCACCCCTGAACACGCCTGCGTTCACACAGGAACTTTGGGGGGAACCTCCACAACACCATCATTTATCCATTGAACCTTGAAGACCTTACCCTGGGGATCATTTGGCCAAAAAATGAAAGAAAATATTATGTGATCTTTCTACAGAGAAATGGTTGATTAATTTATTGGTTTTAATCATAGATAACAAGACCAACAGTTGTATCTCCCAAAACAGTTCTTATATTTGCATAGGTTTATTCAGTTTAAGAGAGGTCTGAATGTACAACACTTTATGTCATCCTCCAAACAGTGATAGAAGGTTAGCAGATTAGGTTAATGACTTCATTATGTAGACATTATAATGTAGGCTATATATCACCTTCATCTGATGAATACTAATTAAGTGCAGAACCTTTGGTGTGATATTATTTTAACATTTATTAGTGCTGGAAGACAGTTTTACGATCCCCATTTTATAGAGGAAGAAAATCTAAGATTCAAAGTCACAAATGCCTGCTCCAAAGCTGGCTATATTTCTTGTCTGTTCTGCTGCCCTGAGCACGGAGCAAGAATGAAGTACAAGAAGAATTTGAGCCTTCTACTATGAAAGGGCATCTCTTTGCCCTTTCCACAATACTTATTGCCACTAATTTCTCTCTTCCAAAGTGATTAACATACACTCGTATTTATAAATACAAATCTAAAAACAAAATCTGTGCTGTTTCCTCACAGTGAGTGACTCCTTGAAAGGAACTGGGCCTTAACCCCAGCTCCCCAGCTCCCTGACAGAGTTCTTTCACCTCTATACTACAACCACAGCATCATCCACCCAAGACCAGTTGTCCACAGAATAACTTAATTAATTCTTTTTTAAATAATCCCACGGCTCCCAGATATAGATGTTTATTTCATAATTAGATGAAAACATCACAGAGAACCCCCTCAACCCCACCCTCTCAATTCTCAGGACAGCAGTTCCACTGGTTTGGGAATAGGTTGTCCAGGGACATGGGATCACTCTGAGCTTGCCATAAAAATGCAGGTGTCTGACATCTAAGCTTTCTAGATGCCTGAGGTGACAGTGAATCATAAAAAGTAGTGCTAGTGAATTAGCCAACTTGTAAATGTCTTTTTGTTATAATTGATAGAAAAGATGCATCTTGGACATGGAATTGCTTTATCACTCTAGGCATTGTGTATCAGGACTTGTTCATTAGGCTAGCAGCAGAGGGGCACAAGGAAACACAGGGAAAGATGGGAGCAAGTGCTCAAAGATTTACATTTTGATGTGAGCCACTGGTGTGTGTGCATCTTCTGGCTGTACTATAGGAATATTTTAATTCACTGGAACATTCATTCTTGCTAATATTTTAGTAGTAGAAATCTGATAATGAAACAAGCTTGGTGTATTCTGTTGCTGTTTCATTTTAAATTGAGCATTAAGGGAATGAATTGTTTTACTTGTAACTCTGCCAATATGTCTATTGAGAGGCCTGTTGCCATTTCTGACTTCAGTGAAATGTTATCCCCAAGAAAGGATAACAGATTGAGTTGGTGTAGTGTAATCTTAATTATCAAAAAGTACTCATGTAGCTTCGGGATTTTGAATTGGTGAATATTCATGATGTGTGGAAAAGCATCAAACACACCACAATCTCAATCACACAAAATGGGATATTGTGTATATATGCACATAACCTAGAGGGACACGTCCAACTAAGCTTCTTGTGACTGGATGACTTTGTTCTTTGCTTGTGTTTTTATTTTTCCTGTAATGTACAATTTATTTTTTTTAATAAAAATTATTTTTTAAAATGCAGGTGTCTGAATCTTCAGCCTTTGAATCTGTGGTGTGCAGAGGGGTATTTTTCTAAAGAGCTTTGACTCTTCCTTCATTTTCCCCACTGAGAGAATGGGAAGCAGAGAAGCAGAGACACTAGGCTTTTTCCAAAATATCATGTGAGGGCTGGGGATATAGCTCAGTTGGTAGAGTGCTTGCCTTGCATGCACAAAGTCCTGGGTTCAATTCCCAATATATATATATAATTTTATTTTATATATATAATTTTTATTGTATATATATATATATAATTGTATATATATGTATATATATATATACACACACACATATACATACACACACACACACACACACATATGTCTGAATCCAAGAAGTACTGGATATACTGGATACTGGTCTTCTTAAGAGCACTGGGGAGAAGAGCTAGCTTCTTTGGTAACTAGGATATTGTTGCACTTAGTATAAGCCCCTAACCCCTGTTTAGAAAGATGTCAACCAAAGGAGATGGGTTTGTAGGAGCTGACACTCTAAAGTTGCCCCCCACACCCACACAGGGCCACTCCCTCACCAAACTTTGAGAGTTGAGCCAGAAAACAAATACTCTCCTATTCAGTGGTCTAACCCTATGTGGGGGGTGGGGGGGTAGAGTGATACCAGACATTGAATCCAGGGGTCCTTAACCACTGAGCCACATCCCCAGTCCTTTTTATTTTTTATTTTGAGACAGGGTCTCTGTAAGTTGCTCAGGGCCTTGCTAAGCTATTGATGTTGACTTTGAACTTGCAATCCTCCTGCCTCAAACTTCTGAATTATTGGGGTTACAGGCTGCACCACTGCACCCAACTAGTCCCTGTCATAAAAATCATAGACAACATCCCATTTAAAAAATTTTAAGAAAAAGAAAAAGAAACTCTGACAAAGTTCTGACAAAGCCACTCCAGAAGCACTAGCAAGAGACGAGCAACAGAGTCGACTCTGAGAAGTAATAATGTCACCAACTCTGTTTCTGATTCAGGTGTTGCAAAAATAGTCTATAATGCCAATCAGAAACAAATGCTCTCCCCATTCCCTCCTCTACCATCATCTCTGTTCTCCCTTACACACCCACAAAACAGCAGTGGGAACAAAGAAAAGAGAAAGACAGAAGAGAGAGAGAGAGAGAGAGAGAGAAAGAGAGAGAGATTTAAACTCAAAGGACACATGGAAGCCAGTTTGTAGATACTTGAACATGAATAGAAATGTTCAAAATTTGTGGAAAAATAAATAATAAACTGACAGGCTGAATTTCTCAAAAGTTGGGAAACATATTGTCCACACTGCATATAGCATGGATGTAAAGTATGTGTAGTGTACATAAAGTTGTGTATGTGTGTGCAAAGCCACACATATGTGTGTAGGCATCTATACACAAAAACTGAGGAATACCAGTGAGCTGAGCAGCAATACTGTAAGCTACAACATTTCAGATAACTGAATGGTCAGGGACAATGGTGGAATAAAGACAATGCATTATATGCCCTTTTATACTTTTTTTATTTTAGGCCACATAAAGGAAATGCCTATATTTTTAATGAGAAAATTTTTTAAATATAATAAGAATACATAAATTTGCTAACACCTTCTGAAAATGAAAAAAATAAAATAAAATAAAGTGAAGTTTTAGAAAACCCTGCTTCTGGGCTTCTCCCTAGGCTGCAACTCTCTCCCACAGAGATGCTGCACAGGTGCATACCCAGCTGTCTCACTGTGCCACCCACAGTGCAGTAGTACACAGCACTGTCTTTCAGGGTAACGCGGTGCAGGCTCAGGGTGCTGGACTTTCTGTCAACCGGGATAAACAGAGATGCCACTTCATTTGCCACATTCGTCTTATATCCTTGAATGACAAAGTGTGGTCCCTGGTGGGGGACCTGTCGGTACCAGAAGATGTACTCATTTGTGGCAATGTTGGTGTGGTTACAGGATATGTTCACTTCCTGTCCTTCATAGGCGTCCATGGAGATTCGCTGGGTGGTCTTCACAAGGCTTAAAGTGCCTGTGGGAGTGAACACAGTCCTGACTTCCATCCTGGGACAAGGTAAATGAGAAGGCCCCACTCAGCTCCCCCACAGTTCTCTCTCATAGCCGAATCCACCCCACCCCACACCCTGCTTCCCTATGCACATACACATACACTTTACATCTCATTTATGTTTCAGGACAAAAATGTTATTTGCATTTATTCCTGGTAGGTCTGCTTTCTCCCTTTCAAGGATAGACCCTAAGGATCTGTAACCCAGAACATCTTTACTGCCCTAATATACACCTCACACAAAGGTTTAGGAGAAAAATAGAATCCCAAAACTCTCCCCTGGATGAAGAGCAATTGGTAGCAGACCAGGTTGTGAATCCCTCCCTATCTAAAATCCTCAGGCCCAGATTCCAATTCCTCTTCATCCAAAAATAACTCACCCAGGATCAGGAACAGTGTCACTCTTATCACCTGCCTCATATTCTAGGTGTAAACTAGGGTTCAGGACGAGGCTGCTTTGCTGACTCTGAGCCTGTACTACAATAGGAACCAGGGGAGAAGCAAAGCAGCAGCTGCCAGGGCCCACTCCTAACACTTCCTCATGGGGAGAGCAGCCAGTCGCAGGGCAGCCTCTGCTCAGGGTAGGGCTTCCGCTCAAAGTTCAACTGACTCCCCAAGAATAGAGAGTAAAAACTGCCAAATTATTTTTGGTTCTTTTCTGAGGTCTAACCCCTGAGAGAGTTGGTCTAAATGAATCCAACATAAAGAGGGTAGATTCCACAAATTTCCTTATTCTCAATCCCAGAGAGAGGTCATCTACTGTAGTTGTCTGGCTCTAGGACACACAGATACTCATGGCTCTGGGCATAACCCTCATAGAGCTGGTACTCTATACCCTGAAATGCTCCCTTGATCTCTATGCAACCAAGATGAACCAGGGAATCCCAATCTCATTCCAAAGAAGAGCAGATGAGGCAGTCTGAACCAGACTCTCCATCCTCTGACACCTGGTGTCCATGTGTGATCCCACCAAATCCATGTCTAACATCTCAGACCCCATTTAATAAATCTTTAACAGAGAAGCAGACCCTTCACTAGTCTGTAACAGACCAGCGATGGTGGGACATCTAGTGTAGAGTCACTTCCCAACAAATCATCACCTCACTTAATGCAGGTGACAAAGAAGAACAAAACAGGTTTAGAGTCTGAAAGACCTAAATTCAAATCTCAGCTGTCCCAGATTGTGACATTGGGATGCTCATTCCTCTGAGCCTCAGTTTCATCATCGAGAAAACAGGGACTAGAATATCTATTTCAGAGTCACACTCAGCAATAAATTATAGTTCCTTCACTTTCCCTTTCTTTCCATCTGAACCACATGCAAAGTACCATGGCCAGTAGAAATCACTTGCATAAAATTACATATATGACTTGAAAAGATATATTGTTACAGTAAAGCCAGGCCTTGTGACACATGCCTGCAATCCCAGCTACTTGGGAGGCTGAGGCAGGAGGATCCCAAGTTCAAGACCAGGTTGGGCAACATAGTGACACCCCATCTTTAAAAAGATAAAGAAATAAAATAAAAAGAAATAAACATAGTATAAACTCAATAACAGTAACATACACATTTACTTTTAAAAAAAAAAAAAGCATTTTGGGGGTGGGGATGTGGCTCAAGCGGTAGCGCGCTCGCCTAGCATGCGTGAGGCACTGGGTTCAATTCTCAGCATCACATAAAAATAAAATAAAAGATATTGTGTCCACCTAAAACTAAAAAATAAATATTTTTTTAAAAAGCCTTTATGAAAAGATCCATAGGCAAAAGATACCATAATGTTAACTGAATCAACTAAATGCTGTCATAAACATGTTAGATTTCACATTAATGTGAAAAATTTTAAATAGTGGCATGTTATTTGAGTTATTTGCTCATATAATATAGGAATGAAAAAGTTATAAGGAAATATTTGGAAGGTGTCTCTTTCAGGACTAAAATTGTCCAAAGCATTCTGAATGACAAAAGTTTCCATTTTCTCATGCAAAAAAAAAAAAAAAATCAGTGAGTGCTGATAATCTCTACTAACATTTGACAGAGAAGATATCACAAGGCATAACATAAATAACCAGCTCCTCCTTGGGATCAGATGAAGGAGAAAAGAAGTATGTAGGAGGAACCTGATGATTGGAGAACACTTGTACAGACCTGAAATATGAAAGGGTTTAGACACATTAGATCCAAGTCATTGGGACAGCGCCCCCCTGTGGTAACTTGTACTTGGACTAGAGTCAGTAAGGCTCAGACACATGCAACCTATAAAACATCATGTATCTTTTTTTCAGGGCAGTAGCAGCATCATGGTTTAGTCATATGGACCTTGAGTATACTTTCTGAAGTGGAAGAAGCACTGGATGAGGAGTCAAAGTGTATTGTGAACAATTCTGTGGACTTGATAGCTGTGTGATTTTGTGCAAATCACCTGCCCTCTGAAAGGCAGTTTCTTCAGCTCTGTATGAGAGATTATAGGTTCCATTTAATGAGCACAATATTTTCTAAAACTACATCATTCTATAAACATATGAACTATGTTAACATAAGAAATTATTACAAGACCAAGATGATCTTACCTTCTCAGGCCAAAAAAAAATGGAACTCGGCCTTTCTGTGTTTCCACCTCCTACTATCTCACTGGGAATATTACTGGATAAGTAACTGGAGGAAGAAGCTCTAGAAGTTTGTCTATGCCTCAGCCTAGAGAATGAAAGTACCATTGGCAGCAGTGATGTGTCATGGGTTGAATTGTGTCTCAAGGTGTACATGTATCAAAACATCATATGATACTCCTAAATATATACATACAATTTTTATCTGTCAATTAAATTTTTTAAAAAATTTAATGAAACTACCATATGATCCAGCAATCCTACTACTGGGTATATCTCCAAAGAAAATGACTTATCAGTATGTCATGTACATACCCATGTTTATTTTTTTTGAATTTTTTATTTGTTCTAATTATTTATACATGAGAGCAGAATGCATTTCAACTCATTGTACACAAATGGAGCACAACTTCTCGTTTCTCTGGCTGTATACCATGCAAAGTTACACCATTCATGCAATCATACATGTACATAGGGTAATAATGTCCATCTCATTTTACTATCTTTCCCACCCTCATATCCCCTCCTTCCCCCTCACTATCTTCTGCCAAATCCAAAGTTCCTCCATTCTTCCCTAGTCACTCCCCATGTTTATTGATACACTACTCACAATAGCCAAGATACGGAATCAGCATAGGTGTCCATCAACAGATGAATGGATACAGAAAATGTGGTACCTATATGCAATAGAATATTATTCACCTATAAAAACAAATGAAATCCTATAATTCATGACAACATGGATAAACCTGAAAACATTATGTTAAGTGAAATAAGCCAGACATAGAGAAACAAATAACTCCTGATCTTACTCATATGTGGAAACTTAAAAAGTGCATATCAAAGAAGTTGAGAGTACAACTGTGGTTACCAGAGACCAGAAAGGGAGGGGGGAGAATAGCAGAAGAGAGGTTGTTCAACTGGTATAAAGTCACTGTTACATGGGAAAAATAAGTTCTGGTGTTCTATCATACCACAGAGTGACTGTGGTTAACAATAATGTATTACATATTCCAAAACAGAGTAGATTTTTCTATGTTCTTATCTCAAAAAAAGGATAAATTTGGGGTGATAAATATGCTAATTATCCTGATTTCATCATTACACCTCGTGTATATGTTTTGAAACACCATATTATACAATATTGATATATACTATTATTAAATTTTTTTAATATCTTTTTTTAGTTTTAGGTGGACACAATATCTTTATTTTATTTTTATGTGGTGCTGAGAAATGAACCCAGTGCCTCACGCATGCTAGGCAAGCGTGCTACCACTTGAGCCACATCCCCAGCCCTATTATTAAAATTTTAAAATTTTATTTTAAAAATTTAAATAAAGTTGTTTCTGTACCAGGGCAGGTCAAAGGCTACCCTGAACCATCAAACAGAGATTATTTCCAGAGTTCATTTCTTCAAGACTGAAGGAAACAGCAGGTAATTATTATACCAAGTTCATTTCTTCCATTCTGCACTTCATCACCTATGTTTATAAAATGATATTTGGCACATATATTTTTAGATGAGCTCATTAATCTCTTGTTGGTACTAAACTAGGCCTCACTGTAGCATCACTCAAAGGCTTAGATGATGGGATCCATTTCTTTTTGATCTCCAACTCTGGCTAATACAATTTAGGGATCTTTCCTCAAATTCACATAAAACAAACTGGCATCATAGGACAGCTTTCAAATTCAAGGGAGGGAGGGGATGTCACTCAGGGGGAAAGCTGTGTCTTCTTAGTATATGCAAGGCCCTGGATTTAATTCTCAACACTGCCAAAAAAGCAATGAATACAAACACTGAGTAGTATCTTACATGACCACGTTCTCTGCTGGGGACAGCTGACCAAAGCACATGTCTCCTGCACAGTCTTAGAGCCACTTACTGTATATTAGAGCATATTTACTTCAGATTTACTGTATCTTTTTCCCTGCAAATAGCATACAAAGCTTGAAGGGACCCCAGAACACCCCCCCACCCCCCGCCTTAGTCCCTGTTGTGCCATTCTGCACTCAGAAATTGAGAAACATAAGTTTCCTTGGCTCTCCATTCTACAGTCTGGAAACTCCTAGGACAAGGGGCTGCATCTGCTGAGTGCCTTTCTACTGTGTCATCACATGGCAAAAGCCAGTGTGCAAGAGAGACAAGAGAGGACAGAACCCACTTTTACAACAATCCACATTCACAATAACTAGCCCACTCCTGCAATGATGGCATTAATCCATGCAGAAGAGTGGCACCCTCGTGTCCCAATCACCCTGTATTGATCCACCTCCTGACACTATTACACTGGGAATTAACTTTCTAACACACAACATTTTTCTTTTTCATGGGCACATAATAATTGTACATATTTGTGGGGTACTGTATGATAATTCAATACTATACTATGGTGGTGATCAAATCAGAGTAATTAGCACTTCCATCACTTTATATACTTATCATTTGGGTTTGAAAACTTCAAACTCCCCTCTTATAGTTCTTAATAAGATATAAAATTGGTTTCATGAACCTGTATTCCCAGCTACTCAGGGGGCTGAGGCAGGAAGATTGCTTGAGCCCAGGAGTTCAAGACCAGCCTGGGTCTTGAACACACCTCCAAACAAACAAAATGAAGAAAAATGATTATTAAAGAATACAATGAACATTTATTTGTCAACATATTAGGTAACCTAGATGAAATGGATCTAGAAAAAACACAAACTACCAAAACTGACTCAAGAAGAAATAAAAAATTAGTGTAACAAGAGATCAAATTATGTGAGCAAAAAATCTACAAAGAAAAGTCCAGGCCTAGAGAGCTTCACTGGTCAATTTTATCAAATGTTTAAAGAATTAACTCTAATCTTTAACAAACTCTTCCA